ATAGCGATCCTACACACAACAGAGCGAAACACTGCCCTGTCCTGTGCCAGCCTTACAATAGTTATTACACTTGAGCCCACTGCTACTGCCACTGTGCCAGTCCATCTCTTAGGGGGTCTTCCTCTTTTTTGCTGGTCTGGTGTTTAAGAGAACAAAGATGTAGTAATGTTGGCATAGTTCCAGGATGCCCCAGAATGCTCTCCTTTCGTAGCATGGAAAGAACCAAGCACAAGCTCATTTATTATTTTTGGGCCTTAAATACTGAAATATTTTTAGCTAGCAAGTTTATCATGACACGCTGTTTCCTTCTGTTGTACATAAGGTTGTTAGGAGTTGGGATGGACTCAATGGTACCTAACAACATTTACATCCTGCCGGGTTTTAGGGTTGTTGTTTTTTTTTTTAGATCAATATGGATACAAATCCATGCATTGATTACCGGGTCAGCTGTCCTCTACCCCCCTTGCTTATTGTCCTTGGAACTTCCCACAGGTCCCCAGACATGAGCTCAGTTAGCTAGTCTTCTACCCAGAGGCCTTGAGGCTTTCCAGCCGTTTTGCTGCTCTAAGTGCTGGATCTCAGTGTCTTTGCTGCGGGAGGGTTCCAGACTGTCCCTTGAAGCTTCGCCTGCCCCAGCTGTCATGGTTGGAGTTTTGCCTGTTTGCTAGGGGAGAAGTTGGAGCTCAATGTGATTTTCTTTGCTTGTATGGGTAAGGATTCATACTTCTTGTATTTCTTTTTTTCATCTGAAAACTACATGTTCCTGTCCTCTTTCAGGGACACTTAGTGCCTTGAAAAGTTTGGCCTGCAAATGTTTATCCCCTAGTCTGTTACTAGTCTTTTGACTTTAACAAACCAAAATCCATACCACTGACATTGAGGAGATTCTAACTTATAGCGACTGTATGGTGGTGGTGGTGGTGGTGGTGGCAATGTGCCATGGAGTCAGTTCCGACTCACAGCGACCCTGTACACGGTTTCCGAGGCTGTAAATCTTTGTGAGCAGAAAGCCTTATCTTTCTTCCGCGGAACAGCTGGTAGTTTCGAATTGCTGACCCTGAGGTTAGCAGCCCGATTAGTACCCACTACGCTACCAGAGCTCCAGAGCTCCTTGTATACAGGGCTTCCAAATCTTTATGGAAGCAGACAGCCTCATCATTCTCCCATGGAGTGGTTGGTGGGTTTGAACCACAAACCTTGTAGTTAACAGTTCAGTGCTTATCCTATAGTGCCACACCAGGACTTCTGTATTTATGGTGGTGGTGGTGATGTGCTGTGGAATCGGTTCCAACTCATAGTGACCCCGCATAGGGTTTCTGAGGCTGTAACTCTTTACGGGAGCAGAAAGCCTCATCTTTCTCCCGTGGAACAGCTGGTAATTTCGAACTGCTGACATTGAGATTTGCAGCCCAACTTGTAGCCACTACGCTACCAATTAGGTATATGTAACTACAGTTATATTGTTATCGGATGCTGTCACGTTGGCTCCAACTCATAGCAACATTATGCACAACAGAATGAACCCTGGCACTAACCTCACAATCACTGGTATGCTTGAGCCCACTGCTGCTGCCACTGTACTAATCCACCTCATTGGGCATCTTCCTGACCCTCCACCTTAGTAAGCATGATGTCCTTCTCCAGGGACTGGTCCCTCCTGTAATACATCCAAAATGTGAGAGACAAAGTGTGGCTGTCCTGGCTTCTAGGAGCATCTGGCTGTATTTCTTCCAACACAGATCTGTTTGTTCTCAGCAATCCATGGTACTTTTAATATTCTCCTCTAACACCGTAACTCAAATGCATCAATTCTTCTATGATCTTCTCTATTCACTGTCCAACTTTCACATGAACATGAAGTTACTGAAAATACCATGGCTTGGGCCAGGCGTACTCTAGTCCTCAAACTGACATCTTTGCTCTTGAGCACTTTAAAGAGGTCTTGTGCAGCAGATTTGCCTAATGCAGTATGTCATTTGATTTAACTGCTGCTCCCATGAGTATTGATGGTTGATCCAAGCAAAATGAAGTCTTTGACAACTTCAATCTTTTCTCCTGATGTCATTTATTTGTCCAGTGGTGAGGGTTTTGCTTTCTTTTCTTTACAAAATAAAACAACCATACCAAAGCAAAGACTGTAGTCTTTGATTTTCATCAGTAAGTATTTTATGTTCTCTTCACCTTCAGCAAGCAAGGATGTATCATCTGCATATTGCAGGTTGTTAATGAGTCTTCCTCCAGTCCTGATACTTTTTTTGTTTTTAAGTTTTTAGGAGACTGATATGTTTTTCTTCATAGAACCCAGCTTCTTGAATTGCTGACTCAGCATACAGACTGAATAAGTATAGTGAAAGAATACAACCCTGGAGCACACCTTTCCTAATTTGAAACTGTTCAGTGATTCCTTGTTCTGTTCGGACAACTGCCTCTTGGTCTATGTACAGGTTCCTCATGAGCACAATTAAGTGTTATGGAATACTCATACTTCACAATGTTGTCCATAGCTTGTCATGATCCACACAATCAAAAAGCCTTTGCACAGGTAAACATCTTTCTGGTATTCTCTGCTTTCCGCCAAGATCCATCTGACATAGTAAACTCCATAGGACACACCGTTACAAATACTTTTTGGTGGTGGTTGGAGGTTGGTGTAAAGATTTGTTCCCTCTTTTGAGCTACTGCATACATAGGTATAGGCCAAGTTCATCAAATTGTATCAGATTACTCTTTTTTTTCCTCTTCTTTCTTCTTCTAGTTGAGCTCTGATCATCCAGTCACTGAAGCCAGGATAAGTGGGTATTATCTGCAAGTGTGGGTGTTCTTATGCATATGCCATCTCTTCTTATTAGCTGGACTCTTCACTTTCCGCTCTAGTCCTCTGTGGCTATGTCACTGACTCTGGGCTCAAGAGTCCTCAGGTCTTGCCACACTGCTGGTCAACCAGGTCTCCACCTGGATTCACAGGAGTCTATTGAAGGTTGTAGGACTTAGCTTGCAGCTTCATTGCTGTTTTCCCCTCACATCCCCTTATTGGTGACGAATATGTTCATCAATCAGAGTGTGTATTCCTACTGAGTCTTAGTCTTGGAAGGGGGTTTGCCCTGAAGGGACCCAACCACTTGCCTTGATGTCTCCTGGTGAGCAACTTGCTTGTTCTTGTAGTAATCAGTCAGACTGCCTATATTTTTCCTGTTGGTCTTTCTTTCAAGAAGTATCTTCTTGTTCTTCTAGCTGCTCCAGGCTGGTCTGCTTGTCCTTTCAAGTGGAAATTTCCCACCTCAGAAGGTTCTGGATGGGGTTCAGGATTATGTAATGCAGAGGCTCTGCTGGAAGCCTCCTTCACTGGGCACGTTGTAGCCCCATTTTAGGTATTCCAATCAGTTATAGGCAGAAGACAGGCTTACAAGGTTTCTATGGTGATTATGTCTGGCTATTCCTTTCTCTCCCCCTCATGTCTATTTTATAATGGTATACTAGGGAAACCAAAATTCAGAAAGACAGCCAAGCATCTTAACATTATTTTCCCCCCTTTTCCCCATTCAAACCATGTCTCAATCCCTGTATCCCAGAGCCCTGTTGTTCCAAGGTTATGCATATATCATTATTTACCTCTGTCCCACTTAGCCCATGCAAACCTGCCTAATTGTTTTCCCGACTGCTTTGTTCTTCCATTCCCCTCCCTTTTGTTATGTATTGCCTCCCCCCACCCAGCACCCAAACTATCCTGTGTCTATTCCCTACCTTAATCAACTTTTAGAAAAGACAAATGCATCATTTTTTTATATAATCTTGCTTTTCAATACACTTTCTCCACCTGTCAACAAGCTTTTGTATTCCCTTATTTAAAAAATGTTTCAGGCTGAGCTGTGAGCCACGAATGCATTGCTGTCTTCACTTCATCAGAGGTGAATCTTCATCCTCGAAGAGCTGCTTTCAGGGGACCAAACAGGTGAAAGTCTGATGGAGCAAGATCAGGGCTATAGGGAGGATGCTTTAACACCTGCAAATGAAGCTTTTGCAGAGTGTCAACAATGTGAGCAGAGGTGTGGGGACATGCACTGTCATGCAAGATCACAACGCCCTTGGATAGCAGCCTTCTGTGTTTAATCCCCAGTTTAAACTTCAGCTCTTCAGTGAACATTTCACTGTAACGAGCACTATTGATTGTTGAACCTTTTTCCTGATCGTGTTCCAGTACTGTTCCTTGGGATTCCCAGAGAACTGTAAGCATCAATTTTCCAGCTGTTTCTTGGTTGGCGATTGAGGATGTTTCCATTCCAGACTGTGCCGTTTATTTGAGTGTGTTTATTCGGACCTTCCTTCGAGTATCAGTGCACGTTTTGTTTGCAGACGTCCAAACACTTTTGTGTGTGGTCTTCCGTGAGTTGTTTCAGTACCCAGCTCACACAAACTTTCCGAAACCCAAATCTGCCGTGGATTATTTCATAGGCAGAGCCATGGCTGATCTGCAAATGATTTGCCACATAATCCACTGTCACTCGTCTAATTGACAGAATCATTTCACGTGCACGCTCAATGTTGTCATCACTTATGGACGTGGATGGGTGTTTTAATATAATTGGAATGTGGATAATTTTTGACTCAACTTCGTAGATTGACTCATAAAGGTATCACCTGTGAGTCATGAGCTCCTTTAAAATATCTTTATGAGATGCAGTGGTCATTAATTAAAGCAAAGATGAGAAGGTGAGGGAAAGTAGATTACTGGAAACAGAGCAATCAGATGGAATGTTCAAGAAGGATGACACATGGTGAAAGATGTACCCTGTGAGATATGTCACTGAATAGCTTGTGTAGAAATCATTAAATGGGAACCTACTTTTTTGTATAAACATTCACCTAAGACACAATAACTTGTTTTTTAAAAAATAAGTGATTTCTGGCTGGAGGGGCCTGGGGTCCTGGAATGCGGAGCGGAGTCCCCCATCCTGATAGATGTTGCTCTGCCTGAGGCCGCATCTCTGTGCTTCACTCTCCAGGTCTGGTGCTGAACAGAGACCGGAGAATCGCTTGGGTGAGTGCTGCCCTCTCTAGGGCCCCTTGACCGTTTGCCTTCTTTTGAACCATCAGCCTCCCTATGGTGAGGGCTGGGGTAAACAAATCTGACATTTGGGTTTGATAGGGGATAGGATACACTGGAACCCGCTCAGTACCTGGGAGAAATGTACGAACACCAACACCTAACACTTGTACCCATACTAACACCAAAGCCAACACCAACACTTAACACCAATTGTTGTTGGCTCCTGCTCATAGTGGACCTATGCACAGCAGAAGGAATCACTGCCTGGTCCTGTGCCAACCTCACAGCCTATTGCTGCTGCCACTGGGCCAGTCCATCTTGAGGGGGTCGTCCTCTTGTTTGCTGACCCTCCACTTTACCAAGCATGATGTCCTTCTCCAGGGACTGGTCCTTCCTGATAATATGTCCGAAGTCTGAGAGATGACGTCTTGCCATCCTTGCTTCTAAGGAGAATTCTGGTTGCAATTCGTCCAACATAGATTGTTTGTTCTTTTAGCAGGTCACAGTCCTTCACACGTTCTTCTCCAACAGCTTAATTCAAATGTGTCAGTTCTTTTAAGGTCTTCCTTAAGAATTGTTCAAATTTCACATGCATAGGAAGCTATTGAAACTACCCTGGCTTGGGTCAGGCACACCTTAGTCCTCAAACTGACATCTTTGCTCTTGAACACTTTTTAAAGAAGCCCAATGCAGCAGATTTGCCTAATGCAATGTGGTGTTTGGTTTCCTGACTGCTGTTTGAGAGTGTTTAGAGGATCCAAGCAAAATGAAGTCTTAGACAGTATCAATCTTTTCTCCATTTATCATGATGTCATTTATTACTCTGTTGTTGTGAAGTGCCATTGAGTCGGTTCTGACCCATAGTGACCCTGTCAAGGGTTTCCGAGGAGCAGCTGGTGAGCTTGAACTGCCAACCTTGCAGTTCAAACAGCTTTGCAGTCTGGCGCATTAATCCACAGCGCCACACCAGGACTCAGTTTAGTGAGGAATTTTGTTTTCTTTACATTGAGGTTCAGCCCATACTGAAGACGGTGGTCTTTGATCTTCATCAATAAGTACTTTTAATCCTCCTTGCTTTCAGTAAGCAAGGTTGTACCACCTGCATATTGTAGTTTGTTAATGAGTCTTCCTCCCATCCTGATGACATGTTCTTCCTACAAACTAGCTTCTTAGATTAGCTCAGCATACAGATTGAGTAAATCTGGTGACTGGTGAAAGACGACAATCCTGGAGCACACCTTTCCTGATGTGAAACCATTTGTTGTTCCCATGTTCTATTCGGACAACCGCCTCTTGATCTACGTACAGGTTCCTCATGAGCACAATTAAGTGTTCCCCATCACTTGTCAGAATCCATAGTTGAAAGCCTTTGCATATCCAATAAAGCCCAGGTAAACATCTTCTGGTATTATTTGCTTTCAGCCAAGATCCAGCTGACATCAGCAATTGTATCCCTCTTCTGAATCCAGCTTGAACCTCTGGCAGCTCCCTGTCAATGTATGGTTGCAGCTGTTTCTTAATTATCTTTAGCAAAACGGTACTTACTTGTGGTATCGATGATATTGGTCAATGACTTCTGCATTCTGTTGGGTCACCACTCTTTGGAATGGGCACAAATACGGATCTCTTCTAGTCAACTGGCCAGATATCTGTCTTCCAAATTTTGTGGCATAGAGTGCGTGCCTCCAGTGCTGCAAAAGTTTGTTAAAAGATTTCAATTTGTAGTCCATCAATTCCCCGAGCCTTGTTCTTTGCCAGTGTCTTCAATGCACCTTGGACTTCTTCCTTCAGTACCATTGGCTCTTGATCATGTGCTGTCTCTTGAAATGGTTGAATATCAGCCATTTGTTTTTGGTACAATGACTCTATGTATTCCTTCCATCTTCTTTTTTTTTTTAAACTTATTGTGAATTGAGCGAAGGCTTACAGAGGAGATCATCCGTTTTACATTCAACAAATCATATACTTCGCTTCATTACATGGTTGCAATCTCCTCCATGCACTAACAGTTAACAGCATTTACTTCTATTCACTTTAACCCTTGCATTCCTCCCTGTGTCTCCTGCCACCCCCTTCTTTCCTCTGCCAACCTCCCTCTGCTTGTAGATTGCCTGTCTTGTCACCCATGTCAATGCATGTGTACCCTCTAGCACATGAATCATTTCCTCTTCCCCCCAAAACCATCACAGATAGTTTCTTTTATAAAGAACCCCCTCCCTTGTTTTATGTACAAAAACACCCCCCATGCAGGAATATATAATCATTTAAGCAATTGAAGGGCACATTCTGCAAGCCTGCCTCCTGGCCGCTAGCACACAGCCTTTCTCTTTCCATGAATCAAGTCCTCAGTTGCTCTCTTTCCATGTCTTCACCATCTCTGATGTCACTGCTTCTCTGGTTAGGGTCCCAAGTTCTGCTCATGCTCTTCTCTTTTGATGGTCCTAGGGTCCTCTGTTCGTGGAATGTAAGATTAACTACTCCCCCCTTTTTGTTACACAACTTCTACTTTTACAGTTGTGACAATTGCAATTAAGTATGATAACAGTTACTCACTTTTGAATCAAATGAATCCTATCCCCATCTCCTTTTACCAGACCCATCTAGACAAGAGGAAAACTATTCAGTGGGGAGTCTACCTTCCCACACACACTCTGAAACGAAACTCCTTCTTGAAAACTTGTAAGCCAGCTACTTTATGCCCTTATACCCCCCACCCCCCATTTTAAGTAGCTAGTATCTAAGTTGCCAATCTCTATCAACCCTGTGTACACAAAGGATAGATTTGATCCTTGATGTGAAGCTTCCTTCCCCGCTCTTGGTTGGTATTTTGAGCTACTACATCCTTATGTATAGGTCAAGTTCATCAAATTGTAGCAATTTACACTTGGTTTCTTTATCAAATTTCTTTATCTTCCTCTAGTTGAATTCTGATCATCAAGCCATCGAAGCTAGGTCAAATGGATACTATCAGCAAGTTTGGGCATCTTGTACATCTCCCCACACTTCATATTAGCTGGGTGCCTACCATGGCTAGGCCCTTGTCCATGGGCTCAGGTGTCCCCAAATCTCCCCACACTGTGGACCAACCAGCCCGTTCTTTTCTCTCTCTCATCTCAAGGTCTACAGGAGTCTATGGAATGTGGTCAAACTCAGCCCATATCTTCATTGTTGCCTTTCCCCCATTTCCACTCACATGCAGATAACAAGGTCACCAGCAAGCTTACATGCCTGTTCATGAGCTCCCTTTGAATTTCAGTCTTGGAGTGGGGAGGTGTCCTGCTTCCATCTTCTTTTGATGCTTTCTGCATCATGCAATATTTTGCCCATGTTGTTGTTGTTAGGTGCCATCGAGTCGTACCGACTCACAGCAGAACAAAACACTGCCCGATCCTGGGCTAACATCACTACTGTTGCCACGCTTGAGTCTATCGATGCTGCCACCTAGCCAATCCATCTCGTTGGGGGTCTTCCTCTTTTTCTCTGACCCTCCATCATACCAAACATGATATCCTTCTCCAGTGATTGGTCATTCCTGACAATATGTCTGAAGTGTGAGAGACTATGTTTGGCCATCTTGGCCTCCAAGGAGCACTCTGGCTGCACTTCTTCCATAGAATCGTCAGTATTGCAAGGTGAGGCTTGAAGTTTTTCTTCAGTCCTTTCAGCTTGAGAAATGCTGAGCGTGTGCTTCCCTTTTGGTTTCCTAACTCAAGGTTTTTGCTCATTTCATCATAATATTTGACGTTGTCTTCTCAAGCTGCCCTTTGAAATTTTCTGTTCTGCACATCTACCTCATTTCTTCCACTTGCTTTAGCATCTTTACACTTGAAGAGCAAGTTTCAGTCTCTTTTGACACCCATTTTGGTCTTCTCTTTCTTTATTGTCTTGTATGATGTTCTTGATGTCATCCCACAGCTTTCTGGTCTTTGGTAATTAGTATCTAATGCATCAAATCTTTTCTTAAGATGGTCTCTAAATTCAGTTGGGATATGTTCAAGGTCAGATTTTAGTTCTCATGGACCTTTTCTAATTTTCTTGAACTTCAACCTGAACTTGCATATGAGCGATTGATGATCTCTTCCACAGTCTGCCCCTTGCCTGGTTTTGGCTGATGGTATGGAGATTTTCTACAGTCTCTTCCCACAGAAGTATAATACCACAACTAACACGACACCCAACACTCCAATACTTAACACCAATACTAACACTAACACCAGAACCAACACCAACACATAACATGGATGTTAACACCAGCACTGAGGCATACCAACTGATACTTGCACCATACACACCACACTCCCTATTTCAAGGGCTCTGCACAACAACTCTTCAGGTAGGTGCTGTTGGTATGCACCTTATGTGGCTGAGCAGGCTGAGACATACTGTTTTATTTCATTTCGATGATGTGGGAACAAAAGGCTAGAAGAGTGGTCTCTTTGCGTAGCGGGACCAACGGTAGACACCCCCAAGTGAGGGGTCCTGCTGGGTGCTGGCCCTATTCTGTGTGTTGACCTGGATAATACAGTAAAACCTGTGAAAGCCAGAACCGGTGTAAGGCGTAAACCTGTGTCAGAGAAGGAAAACGCGACTATTTTCCACCAAAATGAGTGATGGAAATTGATGAGGTTGTGAAAAACTTGTGAGACCTGAAAGACACAGCAGGCCTGGTGAGTTCCATTTCTCACAGGTATCCCTGTAGTGACGTGGTCTTATCCACACACCTAAGCCCACTGTGAGCCCACACTCAGACTGTACACTTTGCTGTGTGTTCCATCTTGACTGACCACGGAGTGAAGGGGGATTAGAGGAAGAAGTAGAGCAAAGAGGAGACAGTGAATGGATGATGACCACCGAGCAGCCATCCCTCTAAAAGAGATATCCTCCGATGGTCACCTTTGAGGAGACAGCTGCAGAGACTCAGCCTCATGTTGTATTTTCCAGTCTGCAGACATGAGTGGAGAACAAGGTCCTTTCAGTCCTAGCCTTGGGACCAAGTAGAAGTTGAGCCTCTGATTGATGCTATAAGCCAGAGACCCCAGTCCTGGCCCCCCAAAAAAGATGATTAAAGCAAGGCTGAGGCTCTGGTGGCATGGTGGTTAAGTGCTCTAGCTTTTAACTGTGAAAGGTCAGCAGTTCAAATCCATCAGCAGGCCCTTGGGAGAGAAATATGGCAGTCTGCATCCTTAAAGATGATAGCCTTGGGGACTGTCTGGGACAGTTCTCCCCCGAGTCCCAGAATCCACAATGGTTTACTTTTCTTGGAAGAAGCTGTGGCAGGGGTGGGCTTGAGTCCTGTTACTGTTGCTGGTGACACAATATCCGGTTCTGTAAAACACTCGGAACCATTAGCACCGGTACCAGCAGGTCCTGTACAGACACTCTGCTCCAGGAGATACTACAGGAAAGCCCGGGCTCTCGGTCAGTCTGAGTTCTCCTTCCTCAGTTCACTGGATGCTACACGTGGCATGGGAACCTGTGGTCCGAAGATCATTTTAGTCTGAGGAGCAAGAAGTAGTTGGTTGAGGTTCAGGGCAGACAGAGCAAGGACACCACGTTTCCAAGGCTGTGTGCATGACCGTAGGAATCTGACACTCACCATGATGGTGGTGTTAGGGGGATCGAGCATGACTTCTGAGTCCATCCTTACGGGAACTTTCTTGAGTTACTCCACTTGGCGCACATTTATCGAGCTCATCCTCTGTTGCCATGTGCAGAGTGCTATAGGTTCACAGAACATTCCGAGAGCCGTCTGCAACTGTGCATTCCAATGACATGACTACATTGTAAACTTTCGAGTAGACATAGTCCACCGCCAGCAGGCCATACTCAGGGATTACACGTTGCTGGGATGTTGGAAGGGATGCCACCAGTAGTCCCGATACCAGCAGGGTCGTGCAGAGATTTCAGCAGAGCTTCCAGACTAAGACTTGAAAGACGGGCCTGGTGCTGTACTTCCAAAACTTACTCAATGAGAACCTGGGGATCACAGCTGAACAGGGTCCGGTGGAGTGCTGGGAGAGGAGCCCCTCATCTTAGAAGGCTCCAGTGGTCTCAGACACCCAGTGATTGTGGGGACGGCACAGGACTGGCTAACAGTTGGTTCTGGTCTAGGCTGCTGGGAGTTGGCACCAACTCCCAGCAGTAAACAACAGTGAAGTCGTATTAAGAGTCAAAAGAAATGGATGCAATTAATTTTAGTTCTACATTTTAGTTCAGTATGTCCCAAATGTTATTTCAACATGTAATCACTATAAAAACGGTGCGTTTACCTTTTCTCATATGGTTTTTGAAATCCAGTGCATTTCACACCTAGGCATGTCCATTTCAACTAGCTACATTCCAGGTGCTCAGCAGCCACATGTGACTACTGTCACCATGGTGAACCCAGCCCTTCATCAAATAGATTCCGACTTAATGACCCGGTAAACAGAACACAAGTGCCCCATAGTGTTTACAAGGCTGCGAATCTTTACAGAAGCAGACTGCCTCAGCTTTCTCCTGAGAAGTGGCTGATGGGTTTGAACACTGACTTTTCAGTTTGCAGGAAAGTGTTTAACTATTTGCAACACCTTCTGGACGGTGCAGAGTTAGAAACAGTGATAATGAGGCGGGACAGTAAGGACTGCGACAGAGGGCCTATGAACACTAGTGTGACTTGGGTAAAGGGGTTGTGGGGGGTCTTTCTCATGGAAACTGCCCAGCACAGATAGGTGGCTCTGCTTGACAGAGTCTGGGGCTCCAGGTGACAGGGCAGTGTAGTAACTTGGGAATAGGGAGCAAGGCCTGGAGGGGCCATCTCAACCCTAAAATCAAGGCCCAGGTGTAGGCAATGTCTGCATTGAGCCACATGTGTGCACCTGGCCACAAGGGAGCCTGGGAAATGTCTGACTGGCAGCCATGAGCCCTGGAATAAGGGGAGACCAGTGGGAATGAAAGCCCATGAGAAGTAAAGGGTCTTCCCCCCGAGGGTGCTGTCTGGTGGCAGCAGGCTGTGGCTCTCTCTGCAGCCGGAGCTTGGCTTTGACTTTATCAGCAGAGAGTTGTTCAAGAAAGCCCTCCAGAAGCTGCAGGCCCGAGTCCTGCATGTCAAGTAAGCCTTCCGTGACCCCTTCCCTGGGGAAGAGGGGAGGTCAAACCATGGGCAAGGAGCTCCCACACTCTTCAGCAAGGGCTTGTGGAGACAACACCAGTTGAGGCTCCAATGGACACTACCGTTTAGTCCAGCCCTGTTGGGCCCTGAGGCACCGGGGGACCCCCGCATCACCCACAGATAGGGCTAGCTCAGCTACAGCCACCTTCCCTGGCACCACCTGAGCCCCCGAGGCACTCAGCAGAGGGCGTGAAAAGGCGCAGACTCCAGTGCCCCTTGGGTTCCTGCACTGAAGGAAGGAATCCCCAGTGAGCTCTCAGACCAGCCCTGACTTCTGTTTCTCAAGAGCAAGCCAGGGCTTCACCAGTGTGAGGAAGGAGACCAAAGGCAACAAAGATACCATTCATTTCATGATTGACACACTCCAGATGATACTAAAAGAGGTGAGTCTCCCCACCCCCCACCGCGGCCTGCAGCACCCCTGGGAGCATTCACACCAGCTTGTGCATTCAAGGTCTCCAGAGCTCTGGGGTCACATGTATTTTGGAACACAGAAAATGGAGACTTTGTTGGTGGCTCTCTGGTTTTATTGTCCTGTGTCCTCCCCTCCCCATTGAAGCCCCAGACCAATCACTGCAAACCACCCCGCACTAACATTGCACTAACATTCCATCAGCGGGCAGACTTTGACCCTTGCCCTGGGGCTGGTAGCTGCTGGCGTTCCACCCACAACCTTGGTAGCATCTCAGGAAAGGGAAGAGCTGGCTGCCAACACAGCCTTCCTATCTCCAAGGGGGAGTTGAGGAGGAAAGTGTGAAAGTTAGCTCACCCCCACCCCACCCAGCTTCACAGCACAGAACACCCAGAAGTCCTAGCGGGCTTGTCCTGTGTGGACACTCCCAACCCCCTCAGGCGTTACAAGGAGCAATGTAAGGGGAAGAGGTGCCTGTCATGTCTCAGTTCAGCTCAGGGAACCCACCCAGGGTTCCCCCTGGCAGCGGGTGGGCAGTGTGGCCCCTGGACCCAGCTCACCTTCCACGTGCCCCCTCCTCCAGCGCTACCAGTTTGTGGAAGTGCCGGGCAACCACTACGTCCACATGAATGACCCCCACCAAGTGGCCAAGATCATCAGCACTTTTCTACTGAGTGATGGGGCCCCAGCCCCCGGTCTCCCCACAACCGCCTGACCCCCCACCCTCAACAAAGTGGGTGTAGGGGGCTAGGCCTTACAGGTTAAAAGAGGAGCCCTGGGCTAGAGGGAATCCCAGGGAGGGCCAATGGGAGACACGGTGGTTTGGGGGTTCTGCTCTGTGGTGAACCAGTGACAGCTGGGGGGGCAGGCGGGGCGGGGGGAAGAGAGGGGGCAGGTCTTGCAGTCTTTCCCTGTGCCTGAAGGAGGAGAAATAAATGAGCCCGTGTTAGCATTGTTGCCCTAGTGGTCTCACGTTCTTGCTGGGGGAGAGGGGAGAACCTCAGAGTCAGTTTCTTCAGACTGAAGTCACTATGGAAACACTGTGGTGGGGGGGGGTGAGGAACGCTTCCTGAGGCAGACAGGTCTTGAGGTCCCCACTCCTGGATGGAGTCCTGCCCTTCAGGACCAACTTGTTTCCTCTCAGGTCCGGTCAGCTCAGTAGGGACGGAATTTGCGTTGGGCCCGCAGCAGCTCAATGCGTTGCTTGTCTTCCTCAAACTTCTTGCGCAACTGTGCCAGATCTGGGGGTGGGAGTGGGGGTGCAGGGTCAGACAGCCTGACCCTGGGTGAGGTAAACGTCCAGCATGTGGGGTGTCCCTCTGCTACCTGGGCCACTTTGGGGAAATAGTCTGGATATGGGAAGGAAAACCCAAAACGCCCCAAACCAAACTAGACTGCAGGCAGAGTCATGCAGAGACCTCCCAAGTAAGAGAGAAAAGGGTCCCTGCCCACTCCCAGACCAGACCCTTCCCCACCCCCGCCCATAGACTGGGACAAGCGGCAGCTAGACCACACAGTCAACACCCACGCTCCCTTACACCTGCAACCACACCACACCCCCACACCCCCTCTGCACCCATAGAGATCAGCTGAGCTCTACCCTGTGCCCTTGGGTCTTGCTGGAGGTACAGGGGCCTGGAGTGACCTCTGCAGGCTCGAAGTAACCCAGGGCCCCACCCACACCAGGCAGCTGCAAGGAGCCACACCGCACAGGGCTGCCTGCTGGGACTCTGCCCCAGAGCCGGCTGGGCGGCCTGTACTCAGTGGCGCCCCCTGGAGCTCAGGACATGCTCTGCAGCAGAGCGCTTCCAGGACGCGGGCAGGGCAGGGGGCGGGTCCCTTACGCTCCATTTTCGTCTCGCGGTGCTGCCAGGCGTAGAAGTTGAGCAGCTCTTTGCGGGCGCGCTTCCGCTTCTCCTTCTCCAGCACGCGCAGACTGGCGGCCTCCGTCCGGGGCAACACAGGCCGCCGGCCACGGCGGGTCACTTTCACCCAGCCTTCCTCGTCAGGGACCCCCTCCTCCTCCTCGGCCTTCGCCACCTCCTGCAAGGCACATGGGTCCCGTTGGCAGGCAGGCTCCTCAGCAGGACAGGGTGTTCACAGACCTGGGATGCACCCTTCTCATCCTGCCTAGAGAAGCCACCAGGTCCGCTGCCCCTGCCTGTGCTACTGGCCAAGTACAGGTATGTGTCTCTTGACGTCTGACCATGCAGGTCTGGGCTCCCATGAGCTGCTGTTTGTTAAAGGAAAGCAGCTCGCCTTTTGCTTATCATCCCCCCTGAATGGTTTTAAAGACCCCATGCCGACTCTAGCATGGATCACGGGTGGGACTAACCCATCAGGTTGTACAGTGAGCAGGATGGGCACCCTCCATCCCTGCCTGCACCCATTCCTCCAGCTGCCACCAATAGGTGGCAGCAAACAGGACAGGAAGTGGGCTCCCACAAGGTTTTAATGGTGTTTGTACAACAACCAAATCACACTAACGTCCTGTTTGACAGAACATATGAACGCTGAGCAACACAAACCTGTACTGGCAGTGTACGGTGCTGAGGATGGAGCAGGAGACCCACCAACAGCGCCCTCCACATCTTGGAGATGACTCTAGGACCTGATGTCACTCAGCCAGGTGGCCCAGGATTCCACAGGGCTCTGGGCTCCACAGGCTGACCATTGACCAGCTGCCTTCCCCGGCCCCCCACCTTAACACCTAGTAGCACCACCTCGCCCAACCTCAGCTATTTTCTTGTCATACGCCTCCATGAACGTGTCCACTTCAGCCCTCAGGGCCTCGGGGTCCAGCACTGAATCAGTGTACTCACTGATCCACTCTGAAAGAAAGGAGAGACAAGGCTCCTCAGGCCCGAGGCTCCCGGCCCCACCTCTGGCTCTGCTCAGAAGTCTGGATCCCCCTCAGAGCTGTAGAGACTGAGCTGGGTTTTGGTGGAAAGGAAGTGTCTAGTGCTGGAAGCTGGGCCCTCCCCTCTATCAACCCCCCCCCGCCCAGTCTGACACACTCAGGAACAAAGGCTCAGGGTCATGTTCCCCCAATGTGTCCCAACAGGCCCCCCACCCACTGCTCTCCAGGCACGGCATTCTCAGAGGTCACCTCCCATTACAGACCCCCCGCCCACCCAGAGTCACGAAGGAGGTGAGGTGCGAGACCCGCAGCGGTACTAACTGTGAATGCCGGTTTTTACACGGTGACTCTCTGTCGAGACCAGCAAAGGGCCCTTCAGGGTCGAGGCAGCCAGCACTCCACCTGGTTTCTGAAACACCACGTAGGCCACCCGGAAGCCCTGAGGGGAGAGACCAGGGACAGTGTAGGCCTCCTGGACACATGGGCCTCACCCCTGCCCTCACCCTGGCCATGGGCTGTTGTGGAACCAGAAAGCTAACCAGAAGACAAGGGACAGTCCCACTCAAGTCATCCAGCTTCTTCGAGAAGTGACACTAGTTCCCACCTCCTCCCCAGAGAATGGCTGAGACACAAGGGGGTCTTTCTACCAGTTCTGGGAGGGTCTCCATGAAAAGGGACGCTCACCCTAAGCCAGGCAAGATGAAAGACTAGGCTGAACAGACGGGGCACATGCTAGCTAGTTCAGACTGATGCCAGGAGAAGGGGTCTCAGGGGACATGGAGAACCAAGACTCCTAGAGATCAAGCCACTGGGCCTGAGGAAGAATCTGCTTCAGCAGGGAGCAGGAGGGGACCTTGGAGAGCCCTTCTGGGTGACCAGTAAAGATGGCCTCTTAGCTTTGACTCGGAACAACAGAAAAAGCCAGACAGGAAGTTAAAGGATGTAACCAGTCAGGGAGCAAGTGGAGGCTGTTTCAGCAGGTGGCCTTGCTAGCTTACAGGAAGTGCTCTCACAACACTGGACAAGGCCCCCCTCCCGTGCTCCATTCATCAGAGCTCCGGCACTGGAGGCTTACCGGAACAGGCTTGGGGTGAAAAAACTTGGACGGTGGCTCCTTCAGGTTCTCTACGAGGTCTGGCTTCTCCTGCAACTCCACAGACTGGACGGCGCCACAGGGGGAGAGGAGGCGAGACAGACACTCCTGTCCAGAGGAGCAGTGTGAGCATCTGCAGGGGCTTCTGGGAAGCCCCTTTGGCCCAGAGGACTCAGAGCCCATACCTGCTAACCAAGGGTCTGCTGGGAAAGCCACTCTCCTCTGACCTCTTCCCTCATGGACAACATGGAGGCCAATATTCCTGCCCTCCCAAAGTGCCTGACAAAAACCTTGTGAATTTTCCTGTTAAAAGCTGCGTGAGAAGCCCCACCTCCCATGTCTAGGAGACTCAGGGCAGGGAGTGTGGTTCTGACTCAGGTTCTGGCCTTAGGATCGGATCCATCATGTGTTTGGTTGGTTCCAGAAGGTGACTGCTCATTTTCAAAGGCCAGTTTGCTGAAAGTTAACAGTCTTTAATGACTTCTTGGGGAGAATGAACAAATTACTCAAGCTCAAGTAACACTCGCTTTTAAATGTTTAAAGACATACTAAAAGAAAACTTGCTGCTAAGTGCCATCCGTCTAGGGTTTCCGAGAAGTGGCTGGTGAATTTGAACTGCCAACCATAAGGTTCAAACCGACCTTGCAGTCCAGTACATTATCCCACAATGCCAAACTAGGACTCCAACAGGTGGAGATGTTTTCTGCTTTTATCTCAAGTATGGCTATGAGTTGGGCTGCTAACCTTAGGGTCCACAGATCGAAACTACCAGTCATTCTGCGGGAGAAAGATTTCTGCTCCTGTAAAGACTTACAGCCTTGGGAACGCTATGCAGGGTTGCTATGAGTCGGAACTCACACCATGGCACACCACCACCACCACCAATTGTGCACTTTCGAGACAATCAACTAGGTTTTACTAACCGAGTTCACATATAAAAATGCATTCAATCAATATCATTAGTGGTCATTCTGATCAAAGATTCACTAGGATTCTGCTCGTATCAAAGTGGAGAAAATATAGAACAGATTTCTTATTCTCCTGGAATCCAGAATTTCTTGATCTATGGAGCCTAGAGGAGCCCCTGAAATAACCTTAAACCAAAAATATCCTCTGAAGTCTTCTTAGAAGCAAACACTTGTTTAAGCTTAACAAGTAAAGAATGTCTGCATTGTGCCCCTTTGAGAACTATCTCTATGGGAGTCCAAGTGTGGTGCTGTACGATAAGCACTGGACTGCTAATCGAAAGGTTGGTGGTTCAAACCCACCAGCTGCTCCTTGAAAACCCTATACAGGGTCGCTGTGTCGGAACTGACTCAACGGCACTTAACAATAACAACAACATACGGGGTCAACCTGACAACAATACCTTGAACAATTAGGAGACTTAAGGGACAATGAGTTTATGTTAATGGGGAAGAATTAGTCAGAAAAAGAGTGAGGATGGTTGTACAACTCAATGAATATAATCAATGTTTCCGAGTTGCATAAATTGTTGACTTGAGACTGCTCTGCTGCGTATGCGCTCAACAACAGAAATAAAATTTATTTTAAAAAAATTGATGATGTTAGAATCAGGGGGGTGTTTCTTTGGTAGGGGATTTCTGATGTTCTGGTTCTTGCTCTGGGAGCTGACTGCGTGGGTCAAGTCAGTGGGTGAAATGCAGCAAGCTGGAGCCCCCCAACCCTGCACTTCTCATGGGCAAGACCCCCCCAAGAAAGGTAAACAAGTACTTCTCTTCTTCATGTGTCTGACTTTGTTGTTGTTGTTAAGCGCTGTTAAATTGGTTCCAACTCATGGCAACCTTGTATAGGGTTTCTGAAGAACGGCTGGTGAGTTTGAACTGCTAACTTTACGATTCAAATGACCTTGCGGTTCAGTGCATTATCTTGCAGCGCCACACTAGGACTCCACGTCTAACCTTAGAGGAATCTTTTAGAAATTAACAGTCCTTTTTGGGGGGAAAAAAATCTAAAATCCAGTAATTCCCTTAGTTTAGTTTTCTTCTGTAAGTATATTATTCTGAATTTAATAGTTTTGTAGGGGTAAAATAGACATGTCCCAAAGAGTAGAGTTAAAAACAACTGTTACTCTGTTCTCCTTCCCGGCCCCCCAACCACAGATAGGTATCACTTTTACAATCAGAAAAGCTATTTAGTAATAATAATTCAAACATGGTTTTTCAAAAAATTCTGGGTAACATATAAAAAAAATTGTAGCTCCTTCCAACTGAACTTTTTAAAGATTTCGATTCTTTTGAAATACATCTTTAAAAAGCCAATCTCCCGTCACACCAGAGAAAGACAGTCCTCTGGACCCCTCCCCTGAAGTCCAAGAGCCCACAGCTCCTCCCCAGATGCTGGCTCACCTCTGTGCAGTATGGGGGCACATTGAGGACAAAAAGGGTCCGCTTCTGAGGCCAGGTAGACTTGGTGCCTTCTCGGACACTGTGCTCTTTCACGTAGAGGTAATGACAAGCCTGCTGTTTTTCCGAGAACTTGATGGGAATGGCTGGGAGGGACACGGGGTCAGACGGAGGGTGTAAGTCGGGTTGTGGCTACACCACGGCCCACAGGCCAGCCGGGCATTCAGTTTCCCTTCTCCATAGCCTGTAGTCCCACCCAACTGCCCACACATCTATTCCGAGGCCGTGAAAGTCAGTGGGGGAGCAGCACAAGGGGTTTTTCATTCAATTTTTCCACGAACTTGTTGAAGCCTCCGCATTTATGCAAACAAACCCAACCTAACTGCCACCAAGTCGACTCCAATTCATAGCGACCCTGTATCAGGCTCCTAAGACGAAATCTTTACGGGGCAGACAGACAGTCTCATCTTTCTCCACTCAGTGGCTGGTGGGGTCTAACTGGCGACCTTGCGTTAGCAGTCTAATGACACCAAGGTGCCTTCAAGTGTATATACTGTTGTTGCTACGTGTCGTTGTATCGATCGGTTCCGACCCATAGCGACCCTGTATAGGGTTTCCGAGGAGCAGCTGGTGAGCTGCACCGCCAACCTTGCGGTACTGTGCATTACCCCACAGCTTAGGTTCCGACTCACAGCGAACCTGCAAAGGGTTTCCGAGGCTGTAGATCTTTACCGGAACACAAAGCCTCATCTTCCGTGGATCGGCTGGCAGTTCCGAACTGCTGACCTTGAGGTTATAGCAGCCCAACTCGTAACCATTAAGCTACCAGAGCTACACTTGGACTTGTGTATGCATAAGCACCTGCTACAGATGGAGGGCGCTCAAACTTCCCCTCCAGTGGCTCCCTGCCTGCCGCTTGAGGGGGAACAAAATCCTTAGAGGCTGGAAGGCTGACATGAGGCTGGCAGCCCCTGCCTACCTCGCCCAGCACCATCCTCCCCTCCCACTGGGCACTCGTTTGCTGCGCCAGTGAACCTGGGCCTCCTACCAGCAACCCTCCTCCTCCCTCCTCCCTGTTCTTCACGTCCTCACCTGTCACCCCCAGCCCCTCACCAGATCAGATCCACCTGCTCTGGGCCTTCGGCGCTTCCTTCCCGGTTTGGCAGCTTGTATTTTTTAATTGATCATCTGGTTAATGGTTGGTATTCCCACAGCATTTGAATCCTCATCAGATTAGGGAGCCTTTCCCTCCAACTGCCAGCAGAGCAGGAAGCCCTGGTAGCACCGTGGGCTAAGCGCTGGGCTACTAACGGCAGGGTCAGCAGTTCATACCCACCAGCCATTACTCAGGAAAAACACGAGGCTGTCTGCACCCATAAAGACGTACAGACCGGAGACCTTATGGGGCAGTTCTCCTGTGTCCTGTAGGATCTCTGTAAATCTGAATCGACCCAATGGCAGCGGGCTAGGTTTGAACCAAGGCTACACCCCGATAGCTTACGTTGTGATGGGGAAGTGAGCGTATGAAAGACTGGGTGTGTTAGGGCGGAAACATGCAGGGTTGTGTGAGCCCGGGGGTGATGGGGTGGCAGAAGCCTTCTTCAGCGAGGACACACCTGGGGCAGCCTTTCAGAGGAAGAAAAAAACCGCCCGCCAGGTGGGAGCCGGGAGGCTAGAAGCGTGGTGATGGAAGGAACAGAGCGATGAGCCAGGTTTCTCCAAGGACGGGGGACGGCGAGGTGTGGGACCATAGGGAGGCTGTGGGCCATGTCTAATTCTGACCTTAGAACATTCTGGAGCTGACGAACAGAAGGCAAGGGGGCAAGTGTAGACTCAGGGAAACCAGTTAGGGGTGCTTAGCAGCGCAGGAGCGAGCTGATGGCGGCTGGGCTGGGGTCTGCAGGGGTGATGAGAAGCGGAGAGAGATCGAGGGTCTGAGAGGTGTGGGCAGAGATGGGTCCCCCGGAAGAATGGAGGTGGGTTGAGGTGGCCTCGCCCCGGGAGTGCAGACAGAATTGAAATCGCCCCGGAGGGAGAGTAGACAGGCGAGAGTAGGAAGCCGCCGGGGCCTGGACACCCCGGGCCGCATGATCAGCCCAGGCTGGGGGACGCCCCCAGAGACTCGGCTTCCTCTAACCCCCGTCCCGGCGAGGTCGCCGCTCCGGACCCGCACCCCGGACTCCTACCTGAGTAGCCCGGAGGGCTCGGGAGCTTCTCTTCAGCCTCCCGCGCCTCACGCTTTCTCCTACGCGCCACCATCTTGCCGCCGACCGGAAAGCGCAAGGATCGCTGGGAGCTGTAGTTCGGCCCCGGGAGCGCACGCGTTTCCATGACGACGGCGTCGCGTAGGTGCCCCGCCCTGTCAGTTCCGACAAGTCTTTCCGGCCTCTCTTGCCTCAAGGCTCACCCTCCCTTTGCTTAAAGTAGGCGAATGAAAAAATCGGAATCAAATGTCGCTGTTGGCGGGCAACTCAGCCGGCATCCAGTCACTTCATCATTCATTCCTCAAATATCAGTGAATGACCAAGGCATGGTACTAAGCGCTAGGGAGACAGCAATGAAACAAAATTAAGCCTTCCTGGAGTTCATTTTATAACACGAGGAAAATAAACACAAACTAGAAAACATATGCATTCGTGCTAATTCCTAAAAAGAAGGAAGGGAAATGCGAGTCTGGGCGTAGATGTCACGATTTAAAATTTGGTGGTTTCACTGAGGCACGGCATTCAGGTGTCAGGAAAAAATGTATTCTAGGGGGTGGGGGTTGTCAGATCCGTAGGGCCTAGAAGACCAAAGGGCCTTAAATGTTAACTCTGGGCCACTCTGGGATTTCTGGATAAGGAGCAATGTGTATCACTTTTGCTCCTATGCAGTGCTTAGACCGTGGTAGGGCTAGGGTATAGCAGTGAGGTCATTCAGGACACCACACCCATTCATCAATCCCGAGGAAAGATGATGTCTTAGCCACCAGAGAACTAGTTGTGGGGATGGTTACAGGTGTTCAAATTCTGGCGATTTTTTAAATTACCTTTTCGGATTTGGTTGGATATGTGGTATAACAAAAAAAAAAAATCCAGGGCCACTGAGGCTTTTGGTCTGAGCATCTAGAATGATGTTGCCGCTTTCTGAGATGAGAAGCTTTTAGGTGAGAATTGACTTGGGGGCAGAAAAGGGCACAGCGATGTCTAAACTTCACTCAAGCCTGGGGAAATATATCTGGGAGCTGGCAATGTTGACACAGGATTCTACTTTATCTGACCCCCAAAGATCCACAGGGGCTGTGAGCAGACATCAGTGTCAGTTAGACCCTGTATACAGGAGTCCTGGAGACAGTTCTTTGGGGGGAAATACTATGTAAATACGGGTTGTGCCATTTAAAAGGTTCTCAAGTTCACTGATTCTTTTCTTTCTTCTTCCATTCTGTTTACTTTGGTTATTGTATTTCTAAATTCTAAAATGTGCCTTGTTCTTATATCTTCTAGTTACTTGCTGAAACTGTTTCATTTGTTTTAGAGATGTTCATAATTGCTTTTGTAAAGGCTGCTTTCAAACATTTAACATCATGGTGTGGTGTTGTGGGCTAATGCACTGTACTACAGTCCTTTGAACCACAGATTGGTTCAAACAAACTCACCAGCTGCTCCTTGGAAACCACTAGATAGGGTTACTATCTATGGGTCCAAACAGCACCTAACAACCCCTCTCCTCTTTGATGAGTTGGTTGCCTTTTCTCCTTCTTAGTGACTTGATTGAAATCTAGACACTTTCGAGAATTCTGATTCTAGATCTTAATTAAATCTTGTTATATATAGCAGGTCTTCTTCTGACCCCCTCTGGTATGGAAGGGGAGGCACCACTTAGTACTTGCAGGTGAAATCCAGGTTTCTCCACTAGACCTCTGTTGACTCTCCGGGTGAGGGACTTCTCTGATACCACCTGGCTTTGGAGGAACTCTTGTCGCGTAGTGGTTATGAATCGGACTAGGAGCCACAAGGTCAGCAGTTCGAAACTACCAGCTGTTCCGCGGGAGAAAGATTAGGCTTTGTGCTCCCGTAAAGATTTACAGCCTCGGAAACCCTGTGCAGGGTCACTATGAGTCAGAATCGCCTGCACAACATATAACAACAACCCGGCTTTGAGAGGATGGCTGGGGTCTCTCATTTCTTCTCAGTTGGTCTCCCTTGACAGCTCCCTTCTTGGCCTTCTCTATCATCACCCCAGTGAGGCTCTGACGACCCTAATAGAGTCCACAAGGGTAGAAGGCTAGACTCGGACTCAGCCTTTGCTGGTGAGAGTGGGGTCACTGTGGTTTTCTGTGGACCTTGGCTGGAGTTTCTCTTGCCAGGCTGCCTCTTTTCTGGTCCTTTAGCTAGAGGGTTTTCCTTGTGCACATTGGCATTTCTAGGTTGCCCACTCCTCCACCACCATTTAGGAGATGAGGCAAAAAAACCCCAGGGAAGTACCATTCATTCATTCCTTGGAATGGAGTTCCTTGCCAGACTGCCTTCCAATTTCTGTACCTCTCAGTATCATGTAAGTCTAGTGTGGCGCTGTAGGATAAGCACTCGACCTCAAGGTTGGTAGTTCAAACTCACCAGCTGCGCCTAGGAAACCCTATATAGGGTTACTATGAGTTGGAACCAACCAGACAGCACTTAACAACAGTGCGCTTAGTGGGAGTGATTAATACATCACACTATCTTTCTGGAAATGTTTACTGTTAATGTCAAAATAAAACCACAAACAAGTGTCTTCTTCTAATGCTTAGTAGGGAGTGTGGTAGCTCTGTAGAATAAGTACTGGACTGCTAACCTCACAATTGGTAGTTCAAGGCCCCCAGTCATTCTACAGGAGAAAGAAGAGGCTCTCTGCTCCCATAAAAATTTATAGCCTTGGAAACTCTAGTTAGCATCACTGTGAGTCGGAACCAACTCGATGGCACTTACCACCACCACCGATGCCCTAGTTGATCTCAGGAATAAATTTCATCCTTGCATATAATTTCTGCATGCCAACACAAAAGGCCACCAGTCAGCCTCTCTTGTCCCTTCCTCCCTGTTGGAGCTGACCACCTTTAACACCTAGCAGGCACTTTCAGCCCAAAAGCTGCAGTGCAGGTGCTGCTGTTCTCAAGTACAGAACAAGTCATGTGAGTAACTGACCCAAGGTCCCAGCTGAGGAGCACAGCACAGAAGCAAACTCCTGTCTTCTGGTGCCAAGTCCCACTAGGCCGCTTCAGGAGACTTTTAAAGAAATGACAGTTCAAAAGTAGGAATAACAAACATTTATTCAGAAATGGTTAAGTAATACACCATCTTCTCCATCACTTAATGCCTCTCCTCCTCTTGAACAAAGAGACAGAGATGGGTAATGTAGTAGGAGTGGGAGGTGGAGAGAGAGACAGGAATAGACCCACCACCTGCCCTTCCCTGTTCCCCAAGATGACACCCGGTAGCAGGAGAAGCTGTTTCCGTTACCTCCACCGTACCCTGCTCTCCCAGACGGCTTTTCAGCGCATGGGGTCCAGATGGCCTGGCAGCTGCAGCCAGACTTGATGAAGCATCGATAGACAAAGCACATCTGGCACAGGAACAGGGAGGAGGGAAGCCATGCAGGCAGTATATTTACCATCCCCACTCTGAGCAGAGTCCAAACAAAGGTCTGCTTCTAGCACCTGAGAAACCACAGCCTGCTGCCTTCTGAGTGTCTCTTAGTAAAGGGTGGGAGGAATGTCTTCCAGTGCCGAGAAGAACAGTAGGAAGAAGCAGATTCCTTGAAAGAACCTGAAGGTGGACCCCTTCCTGGACACCCCAGGTCTGACCAACATGAATGTCTGGGGTTTTATTCATTGAATTAACCCCAAGCAGGACCTGAGTGGCTCTTAGGGTCTCGAGTCTTGGAGTTGCTCCTCTTCCTTGCTGCTCAGTTTTGACAGCTGCTGGGACCACGCTGGGAACTACCCACAGGATTCCCGGCAACAGGTGATCTGTTCCTTTAACCACCAACTGCCTAGGCAGGAAAATATTCCTGGGGTCACCAACAATGGCAGGGACGGTATCCCTTTGTGGCAGCTGGGTATGTCACTCCTGGCATGCCTAACTATGTTCTATAAACGTCTGAGGCCAGAAAGCAAGAGACAGGAGCAAGTTGGAGCCAACATCTCCCATTAACATAATGCCCCAAACTCATAACGCCACAGAACAGGAGTCATCTGAACAGCGGAGAGGTGGCCCAGCGCCTGTTAAGAGGCTAAGAGAGCTGGGGCATGGCCATTGGTAAAATGCAACAAAAAGGGGAAACGTGAACTTTGAAAACTTTGGGTTGTCATAGAGTAAGGGTGCAGCCCTGATAGCAGAGCAGCAACCTCCTTGCCCTATCACATGGCCTTTGCAGAACCCCCCACCCAAGTCGAGGCAGGGACCACTCTTGAGCTGACCTGTGTCCATTATGATAGAAGAGGTTGCACTCCCTCACTTCCTGGAAACTGCAGTCTCCCACCCTGCGTCCCATAGGTCCACTCAAGAGGGCAGTGCCGCAGATCCAGATAAGAATTCAACTTGGGACTGAGATGAGGGGGAGAAGGGACACTGAGAAACACAAGCCTACCTGGACAAGGAGGTGGAGAGTAGAAAAAACATACTAGAAGAAATGGGAACAACGGAGGAACACAGGGTAGAACACATCACAGAAAGGCAAGTCCTGTCCAGTGAGGAAGCTCTCTACCTAGGCCACCCTTCCCACACTCTGGGGTCTCCAGTCCAACGGTCCATTGGTCACAAACTTGGCTTTGGGAAACAGAGCTACTCTCCTCTGTTCCCAGAACGCTCTGACTGCCTTGCTTCCCCACTCAGAGTTTGATTTTGAATTCTGTGGGCTGTGTGGTCACAGAGGCCCCTGAAGACTTGAAGAGCGCTTTCAGGATGGTGTCAGGGTCCACTCCGGCAGGCGGACTGCAGGAGGAGGAGGAGGCAGAATTCACCCTGCAGGGCAGCTCACTCTCCTTCTTCACTGAGGGGCTGTCACTCAGCCGCCTGCGGAGAACAGATTAAGAGTCAAAATTCTGTCAGTTTTCCCTAAAATGGGGAGGGGCCCAGCAGTCACTGAGAATATTATGAGCTAGGCACTGTGCGGGCCCCTTCGTCTCCTCTAGTCATGTAGCAAACCTACCACTTGTCTTACTTATTGAAGAGAGAAACAAGATGCAGCCGGCTTCTTCTAAGCACTGAGCGTCCTGCTTTCTGGGGCCCTTCATCTCCTCACATCTTGTAGCAAACCTACAGTTTGTCTTACTTACTGAGGGGAGAACTGAGACGCAGCCTGTCTGCTCTCGGAACTCATTCTCATCCCAAGGATTGCAAAGAGGTGGTGGTCTCTACTCACTCACAAGTGTGCAGACGAGGAAGGGCAGACCTGCTCTCCACTTGCCGCACAGATGTTTCTGAACTTATACAGTTAGTTGAAAACTAGGCCTAACAGGTATTGTGGGGACAATACCCTGGGGAATTGACAAGCCAAGACACCATGTTCAAATCTGAGTGGTGACTGACAGCTTGCCATCAGAAGCCAGGAACTGGAATAGAAGACAGCAGGTGGGAGGAGAATTGTGATGCAGATTAAGATGCCATGATGGCCCAGCAGAAGTCAGAAGAAAAGCTCCCTCCCACCCTGCTGCCCTGCCTTCGGAACTTACAGCAGGATGGGCTGGTCGGAGGTGATAACATTCCCATTCATGTGCAGGTTACACTTCATTGGTTGTCCTGAGGGGGCAAAAAAAAGAGAGACGGTTTTGCCATGAGACCATAGCTCCTCACACAAAAAGATAAAAGGGCTGCAAGCTCCACTACCAAAGGCCAAAGCCCTCACCAGGGGCAGTTGTGGCGTCAAAGCTGGGGAAGCGGCTTCTGGCTTTCAGCCAAGCCCAGACTGAGCAAACCCCAGGAAACCTCAGGAAGCTAGCTAGCTAGCCCCAAGAAGCAAAGGCACAACACACTTTGCTTCACAGGAGAGGAGAGAAATGGTAGCAGTAGAAAGCCAGGCAACACTGGAAAGCAATGAGAAAGGGCCAACACATATGCAGTGAGCCTGAGAAGAGGGCTCCGGCGAGTACACAGAGATGCACACCTCATCCCTGAGGCTGAACCGCTACAAGGCCTGCAATCCCACTCCCAACGACTAGAAAACCAGACGGAAGAAAGAAAATCACATTCTGACGCTAGCCACCAGGCAGCAAAGAGCTGTCCTCTCTGGGAGGGGTGTCCTAAGATTGGCCCAGCCTAGCCGCTGGAGGCACTTTCTAATCCAGAGTGCAGTAGGGGGAACCCCAAGCAGATCCGTGGTCCTGATAAGCAGGGGAGACAGAGACTGGAGTCCAGGGAAGCTAAGGCAGCTAGAAGCTGTGAGGCCAAGTTCTAAAGAACAAATTATGCATATCTGCATAGAGGTCCCCTGGGCCAGGCATCAGACACTGTTCAAGTCTGCCAGAGTGGAGAGAGCTCAGTAGAGGAGGCAATCAGTAGCCAATCCAGCAAGGTCATGCCTTAGAAATGAGGCTAAGTTGGCTAACAAATAGAGTAAGTCTAGTTCAGTCCCATCCAAGACAGCTTTCTATGACTCAAAAGGGGAGCTAAAGCCAAGTGTCTTCGAACTGAGGATGATGGTGGAGTGGAGTGCCCTTTGGGCATGGATCAGCAGTGCTAAAAGAGCTTTGTATTACTGCCTGAGCAGGGCAGAGTCCAGGTCAGTGGGCCAAGGATCAGAGAGAAGCCTGCCTGTGGCCATGACTGAAGAGAGGCTCTACTGACCAATGCACCATATCCTGAGCATTTCTGGTCCTGACATGTAACTTGTTAACCTCCCTAATAAACCCCATTAACTGGGAGAGAAAAAAATAAAGCATACTTCAAAGGAATACAGCACTCAACAACATAAAATCAATGTCCAGCATTTACTCAATAATCATTAGACTAACAAAGGAAGAGAAAAATGTGCTCCATTACCAGAAGGGAATCAGTAAAGTCAGATCTAGAAACGAAAGGCTGGAATTAGCAATGTCTTTAAATGGCTATTATACCAATGACCAGATTAACCCATTGCTACTGAGTCAACTCCTCTTCAAAGTGATCCTATAGGACACAGGGTTTCCAAGGGTGCAAACCTTTACAAAATCAGACTACCACATCTTTCAACTGTGGAGTGACTGGTGGGTTGGAACCACTGACAGACCTTTTGTTAAGCAGTCAAAATAAACCCCAAGCCCTACTGCTATTAATTCTAACTTAGAGCAACCCTGTACCACTGTTGTTAAGTGCCATCGAGTCAATTCTGACTCAGTGACCCTATATAGGGTTTTCCAAGGAGCATCTGGTAAGCTTGAACAGCAGACCTTGTGGTTCAAACCAATCTTGCAGTCAGTCCAGTGCATAAACCCGCAGCACCACATTGTTGTTGCTATGTGCCGTGGAGTCGGTTCCGACTCATAGCGACCCTGGACAGGGTTTTCAAGGCTGTAAATCTTTACAGGAGCATGACGCCTCATCTTTCTCTCATGGAGTAGTTTCGAACTGCTGACCTTGCGGTTTGCAGCCTGATTCATAACCACTACGCTACCAGAGCTCCTTGCAGCACCACATTAGGAAGATGCAAATTAAAAACTACAATGAGACACTTTCATTAAACCAAACCTAAAACCCACTGTCATCATGTCAATTCTGACTCATCACAACTCTACAGACAGAGCAAAGCTGCCCCATTGTTTCCCCAGGCTGCAACGCTTTCTGGAAGCAGACTGCCTCATCTCTTTCCCACAGAGGGTCTTGCAGGTTAGCACCCCAACACTGAATCCACTGCACACGCAGGTTCCTTCTCACTCCCATTAAGATAAGGGCTAAACTAAGACATGGAAAACAGCGATTGTTGGCAAGGATGTGGAGAAATCAGATTCTTCATTCACTGCTGGTGGGAATGCAAAATGATACAGCTACAGTGGAAAGCAGTTTGGCAATTCCTCACAAGTTAAAAATATAGCTACCATGTTGTTGTTAGGTGCCATCAAGATGGTTCCGACTGACAGCGACCCTATGTGCAGCAGAACCAACCACGGCCTGGTGCCATCTTCATACTCATGGCTATGTCTGAGTCCACGGGCGCAGTTACTTGGTCCATCCATGTCACTGAAGGGCTTTCCACTGACCCTCTAGTTTTACCCAGCATGATGTCCTTCTCCAGGGACTTGTCCCTCCTGATAACATGTCCAAAGTACGTTAAATGAAGTCTTGCCATCCTCGCTTCAAAGAAGCATTCTGGCTGTACTTCTTGCATGATAAATTTGTCATTCTTCTGGCAAGTATATTCAATCCCACTTAGGTACATATCCAAGAGACTGAAAACAGCGACACAAAGAGACAGATGTACACCAATGTTCACTGTAGCACTAGTCACAAAAGCCAAAAGTTGGAAATGACCCAAATGTCTATGAGCAGATATGTGAGTAACAACATGGGGTACAGACACAGAATGGAATGTTGCTCAGCCATGGAGAGAAATGAAGTTGTAGTACATGCAACAACATGAATGAACCTTGAAAACGTCATGCTAAGGGAAATTACAAAATGACACACACGAGGGTAAGTCAAAAAGTATTGCCACTAGGGTTCCAGGTTTTTGCATGCATGCCTTAATTCTAAACAAAATCTATAAACCTGTCTCTGCAATCAGTGGATGACTGCAGACAAGTTCTCTCGGTCATACATTTATTTTAGTCTTATTAGGGTGCCTTCATAAAAACTATAGTTTTTGTGCCATACAGAAAAACAATTTTGAGGTTAGGGTCAGTATCAAATTTTAACAAAATTCAAATGGACATTTCCTCAAATCATTGAGACATTGCAACAAGTTTCTGGGGCATAAACAACAGCTTTTAGATAGAAGAAACTGGTTGAAAGTCCTTAAGTTGGTGGAAGACTGCAGAATTATCACTGATGCAATAGTTACTGAAGCTGAGATCTCACGTGGTTTGGTATTTTCAGTTTTAGGTGAATGCCTTGGCTTCAGAGCAAGTTTTCAGTTCAATGGGTACCAAAAGCATTGTGTGAAGATCAAATGTTAGCTCAGGGTTGATCTTCCCAGCAGTCTTTTAAGCAAGACTGAAGATAATGAACATTTTATGGAATTGTAACTAGGGACGAGTTTTGGATTTACCAATACAATCAAGAAAGCAAGATCTGATCAAAGCAGTGGCTTCTGAAGGGATCTGGTGCCAGTTCAATTCAAGGCAAAGAGGTCAGCTCAAGTTATAGTGGCTGTTTTCTTGGACTCCAAAGGCGTAATCTTGATAAATTTTCTCGAAAGACACAGGACGATCATGGGAGCGTATAGGGAACAGCTTTAAGAAAACTGAAAACTGCACTGGTGAGAATAATGAAGGAAAATTGCACCATGGAGGTTTTTTTTTCCCCATCTTAACAATGCACTTGCTCATTCTTTGAGGGTAGTTGTCCTCTGAGAATTTCATTGGGAAGCCTTATCCCATCCACTCTACAGTCCTGATCTTGTACTTTACGGTTTCTTTTTGTTCTCCGAACTAAAGATCACTGAAGAGAGTCACATTTAGGTCCTTCAAGAATGTGGTGTAAATCAAAATGTGGGAAATTATCAAAATTATTCAATGTGAAATTGGAATTCCAGACCAGGAAGAGACAAAAAAGAAAACTATAGAGAACACTGTTCAAGAGTTGACGATAAAATACTTATCTAGGATCATAAAAACCAAGAAGATAGCTCAGTCATGTAGATGAACAAACTCCAAACAAGACAGACGCCAAAAGAAAAACACCAGGACATATTACAATCAAACTTCAAAACCAAACACAAGGAAAGAATCCTGACAGCAGCTCAGGAAAACCAAAAAGTAACCTATGAATGAGAACTAGTAAGACGAAGTTCTGCTGTCTCAGCAGAAACCTCACAGGCAGGAAGACAATGGAATGACATTGCTAAAACCATGAAAATGAAAAAACAACAACAAAAAACTGCCAAACAAAAATTATATGCATAGCAAAATTGTGAATCAAATACAATATGAAATTAGGTCATTTCTAGAAAAACATAAATTAAAATAATTTATAAAAACTGTACCAACCTTACAAAATACACTATGAGAATTCTTTGGCTAGAGAGCCAATAGCCAACAATAACCAGAGACTAGCGTACATGACAGTATCATCTAGAACTGAACTCAGATATAGAAATACTCCAAGTAAAACAGACACTGCAGAAAACCAGTAATTAAGAGAAAAACTTAAAAGCAACCAGGCCCCTCCAAAAAACACCATTATTTAGAGAAGAAACAATATGAAAATAAGACAATATGTATATAAAAGTTATACAGCCAGAAGGCAGTGAAACATTCAAAGTGCTTAAAGATGCCAACTCAGAATACGGTATCCAGTGGAAGTCTTTGAAAATTCTACAGCGAAGTAAAAGCTTTCTTTAGACTAGCAAACCTGAAAGAATTTATTGCCAGGAAACAAAAATGGATGCCATATAAACATTTGGAACTACACAAAGGAAAGAAGAATGCCAGAAATGATGACTCTGTGGGCAGATATTACTTTTCCCTTGTATTTTAATCTCTCTAAAAGATAACTGATAAAAATGTATACCGATTAAGGGTAGAGATGCATAGCCCATTACTGTATATCTGATGTCAACATGCTGTAGAGCTGTAAAAAATTTAATTGGCACACAAAAGTTGTGTTAA